CCCATTTCACTTGTCATTTGTTTAGCTTCATCCATGGCACTGGCAAACCCAGATTCTCTATAATCTTCGAGAAATGAAATAAGCGCTTGTAAAAGTTTGATAGCTTCATTAATATCCATGTTTTCGGTTTGAAAAAATTTACTCACAGTATTGATTGCATGCAACAACTTATACCAAATTACTATGCCAAGTAAAAACTCAAAATTTTCAAGTTCATATATTGCTAAGGACTCAGCTTCACGTTTTGTTTTAGGATCTTCAACAATGCTTGCCGAGTCAAGTAAAGCGTCTCTTATTTGTACAGATTGTTCTTTTATAGGCTTGATGCTTTCCACATGACTTTCCCAGCGTGTCTGCGACAATGGCTTAAGTGTCAGACCTTGAACCTTATCTTTAAAAAATTTCCATCGTTTGGGAGAAGAAGAGAACAATGTGTAGATTCGTTGTATCACTCCAAAAAAAGACATAGCTTTCGAACAACAATTTGCCATATCACATAATGCTAGATTAAGGCTACGGCAACCACATGGAGTATAGAAAGCTCTAGGATTAATTTCAAGTAACCTTTTTTGTACACCTCTATGTCTCCCGCTCATGTTAGCTCCATTGTCATACCCTTGACCTCTTATATTATCAATATCAAGCTCAAGATTCTTTAACACATTTTTAAGCTCGATGAAAAGTCCAAATCCTGATGCATCATCAACCTTCAAAAATTCAATCCAATATTCTTGTACCATCGACGAGTCTATCGAATCATCCACGCATCGTATTACTAGAGACATTTGTTCTTCGTTACTCGCATCTGGAGTACAATCAAGTATGACGGAAAAATATTTTGCATGTTTCACTTTTGTGACAATTGCACTTCTCACCTCGCCTGCCAACATTTGTATCAATTCATTTTGAATCTCAGGGCCCAGATATGTATACTGAATCTCGCGTGCTTGGGCACGTTGAATGTGTTCTTCCATTATTGGATCGAACTCGGCAACCATTTCTATCATTTGCAAAAAAAGTCCATTGTTCTCAACATAAAGTTGCTCACAATCTCCACGAAATGCCAAAGTATTTTTAGCAAGTCTTTTCACAATAGCAATTATTCTCGTTAACACTTGTCTCCAATGCTCTCTTTCTTTGTTGATGGACAATTGTATGTTTTGTTTGAAGCCTATTTTCCAATTCCATCCAACTAATCATGCAACCTATATGCTCCTTAGACACTTCGTGATGTGTAAGACGCCGATGCATATTATGCCAATCATTGTATCCGTCATTACCCAATTGGCCAATATTTTTGTCCATTTTTTCTGTCTTAAATAACTTGCAGCAAAAACAGAAGATCTTATCCAAAGAAATTGAATACACTAACCATCTTCCATCAGTTGTCTGCCCATTTGCCATTAATCGTTTATATTGTGATGATTCAAAATGTCAACCTTTATTATCTCTGGGAATGAAGATGTCATCAACTCTTTTTGGACCCACTTCAACTAAAAAGTCTCTTATCTTTTGATCAATGTGAATATCCTTCCAATTTCCAGGATCATTAAAATTCAAAGAGAAGCAATTCTCTTGATTTAAATCTTCATGTTGAACATGATTTTCATCATTCTGTTTTGACTCATCCATATTTTCAGGTTCAATAATTTCCTTGTTCTCTTTCTGTTCATCCACATGATCATTATCAATATCATTTTGATTTAGTTGCTCTTCAATCGTTAAATTTTCTGATGTTTCTTCTTTCCCTTTTCTTTTCTTGCCATTAAAGTATTTATCCGTATCTCCAACTTGGCTTCGAATTAATGCCTCTACTCTTTCCTTCTTCTTCCTTTTTTGAGCTCTCGACGCATATTTAGGTGCCATAGTATTTTATTCAAGCCGCTCAACAACAAACACTTACTGAAATTTGAGAGTAAAAGAGGCTC